CTTGGACTTCACGTATCGTTTGTTTGTTGTTTTGTTCGTGTTCAGTACTTTAATAAATATGTATGCTTATCACGCTGCGCCTTGGTCCGTCTCATCCGTAAACGATCGTGACAGAAGATCCCACCTCACGAGGACCAAGCAGCGTGCCCAGGAAGAGAGAATAGCGATGTCTCAGGTGGGCAAATGGTGGTCATGGGAGGAGATATTCGCGGGGAAAGGGCCATGGGCGAAGGTAAATGCCCAGGCAGGAGAGGAGAAACGGCGCCAACCGTGCCGACGACGGACACCCGAGAGGCAACCCCAATAAAAAATTTTGGGGGGGCACACGGTGTGGACGACGAGGCAGCAGGAGGCAGCGACAGGGCGAATCTGCAGGTTAGGAGAGGAGGCCACAAGGTTACGGGGGCGATTGGTCCAGAGGGAGCAGGAGTTAATTGGTCAGAGGGAGGAGCTACAGAAGGCGATAAGGGAGAAGGAGAGTGTAGAGGCACGGCGAGAGGAGCTGGTTAGGCAGCAGAAGGAGCGGGGGTTTATAAGGGAACCCAGTCCCGCTCCTCGCACCACGCAAGTGGTGTGTGTCGCCAGTCCGGTCCGGCCCGTTCCTGATCCCCGCACTAAGCCAGTGGTATGTGATCCCAGTACGGCCCGACCCATTCCTGCTTCCCGCACAAGGCCAGTGGTGTGTGTTCCCAGTACGGTCCGGCCCGTTCCTGCTCCCCGCACCAAGTCAGTGGTGCGTGTCACCAGCCCGGTCCGGCCTGTTCCTGTCCCTCGCGCCAAGCCAGTGGTGTGCGTCGCCAGCCCGGTCCGGCCTGTTCCTGTCCCTCGCACTAAGCCAGTGGTGCGCGTCGCCAGCCCGGTCCGGCCTGTTCCTGTCCCTCGCGCCAAGCCAGTGGTGCGCGCCGCCAGCCCGGTCCGGCCTGTTCCTGCCCCTCGCGCCAAGCCAGTGGTGCGCGTCGCCAGCCCGGTCCGGCCTGTTCCTGCCCCTCGCACCAAGCCAGTGGTGCGCGTCGCCAGCCCGGTCCGGCCCGTTCCTGCTCCCCGCACCAAGCCAGTGGTGCGCGTCGCCAGCCCGGTCCGGCCCGTTCCTGCCCCTCGCACCAAGCCAGTAGTGCGCGTCGCCAGCCCGGTCCGACCTGTTCCTGCCCCTCGCACCAAGCCAGTGGTGCGCGTCGCCAGCCCGGTCCGGTCCGTTCCTGCTCCCCGCACCAAGCCAGTGGTGCGCGTCGCCAGCCCGGTCCGGCCTGTTCCTGCCCCTCGCACCAAGCCAGTGGTGCGCGTCGTCAGCCCGGTCCGGCCCGTTCCTGCTCCCCGCACCAAGCCAGTGGTGCGCGTCGTCAGCCCGGTACGGCCCGTTCCTTCTCCCTGCACCAAGCCAGTGGTGCGCGTTGTCAGCCCGGTCCGGCCCGTTCCTGCTCCCCGCACCAAGCCAGTGGTGCGTGTGTCCAGTCCGGCACGGCCCGTGCCTGTTCCAGAGCCAGAGCAATCCGCTCCACCGGGGTCCGGTCCAACTCCAGTCAGCGGATCCACTCCGGAGCCAGAGCAATCCGCTCCACCGGTGCCCAGTCCAGCTCCGGCCAGCGGCTCCAGTCCGGAGCCTGTACAGTTCGATCCACCGTCGTCGGGTCCAGCTCCAGTCAGCGGTGCCAGACCAGACCAGGGGCGCAACAGGGAGGTGGAGAGAAAGTGGTGGTTACGCCCGGAGCCGGATCCGCCTCCGAGGCGGAATGCCCACCCGGCCCCTACCCTGTTATGTTTATGGGGCGCGGTCGGAGTCCGCACCTTTGGGGGGGGGGGTACTGTCACGCCCTGGCTCTGGGGACTCTTAAATGTTGAGCCAGGGTGTGTAGTTTCTATGTTTAGTTTTCTATGTTGAGTTTCTAGATCGTGTAGATCTATGTTGGCCAGGGTGGTTCCCAATCAGAGGCAGCTGTAGCTCGTTGTCTCTGATTGGGGACCATACTTAGGCAGCCGTTTGGCACCAGTCTGTGTGGGATCTTGTTCCGTATAGGTATGTTATTAGTCTACCTTGGACTTCACGTATCGTTTGTTTGTTGTTTTGTTCGTGTTCAGTACTTTAATAAATATGTACGCTTATCACGCTGCGCCTTGGTCCGTCTCATCCGTAAACGATCGTGACAGTGTGTCCATGTATGCTGATGATTCAACCATATACGCATCAGCAACCACAGCTAATGAAGTCACTGAAACCCTTAACAAAGAGTTGCAGTCTGTTTTGGAATGGGTGGCCAGTAATAAACTGGTCCTGAACATCTCTAAAACTAAGAGCATTATATTTTGGTACAAATCATACCGTAAGTTCTAGACCTCAGCTGAATCTGGTAATGTGGTTGTTGAACAAGTTGAGGAGACTAAATTACTTGGCGTTACCTTAGACTGTAAACTGTCATGGTCAAAACATGTAGATTCAATGGTTGTAAAGATGGGGAGAGGTCTGTCCGTAATAAAGAGATGCTCTGCTTTTTTGACACCACACTCCAAAAAGCAATCCTGCAGGCTCTAGTTTGGTCTTATCTTGATTATTGTCCAGTCTTGTGGTTGAGTGCTGCAAGGAAAGACCTAGTTAAGCTGCAGCTGGCCCAGAACAGAGCGGCACGTCTTGCTCTTCATTGTAATCAGAGGGCTGATATAAATACTATGCATGCCAGTCTCTCTTGGTTAAGAGTTGAGGAGAGACTGACTGCATCACTTCTTCTTTTTATAAGTAACATGAATGTGTTGAAAATCCCAAATTGTTTGCATAGTCAACTTACACACAGCTCTGACACACACACTTACCCCACCAGACATGTCACCAGGGGTCTTTTCACAGTCCCCAAATCCAGAACAAATTCAAGAAAGCGTACAGTATTATATAGAGCCATTATTGCATGGAACTCCGTTCCATCTCATATTGCTCAAGTGAACAGCAAACCTGCTTTACAAAAACAGATAAAGCAACACTTCACGGCACAACGCTTCTCCCCTATTTGACCTAGATAGTTTGTGTGTACAGTGGGGAAAAAAAGTATTTAGTCAGCCACCAATTGTGCAAGTTCTCCCACTTAAAAAGATGAGAGAGGCCTGTAATTTTCATCATAGGTACACGTCAACTATGACAGACAAAATGAGAAAAACAAATCCAGAAAATCACATTGTAGGATTTTTAATGAATTTATTTGCAAATTATGGTGGAAAATAAGTATTTGGTCAATAACAAAAGTTTCTCAATACTTTGTTATATACCCTTTGTTGGCAATGACACAGGTCAAACGTTTTCTGTAAGTCTTCACAAGGTTTTCACACACTGTTGCTGGTATTTTGGCCCATTCCTCCATGCAGATCTCCTCTAGAGCAGTGATGTTTTGGGGCTGTCGCTGGGCAACACGGACTTTCAACTCCCTCCAAAGATTTTCTATGGGGTTGAGATCTGGAGACTGGCTAGGCCACTCCAGGACCTTGAAATGCTTCTTATGAAGCCACTCCTTCGTTGCCCGGGCGGTGTGTTTGGGATCATTGTCATGCTGAAAGACCCAGCCACGTTTCATCTTCAATGCCCTTGCTGATGGAAGGAGGTTTTCACTCAAAATCTTCACGATACATGGCCCCATTCATTCTTTCCTTTACACGGATCAGTCGTCCTGGTCCCTTTGCAGAAAAACAGCCCCAAAGCATGATGTTTCCACCCCCATGCTTCACAGTAGGTATGGTGTTCTTTGGATGCAACTCAGCATTCTTTGTCCTCCAAACACGACGAGTTGAGTTTTTACCAAAAAGTTCTATTTTGGTTTCATCTGACCATATGACATTCTCCCAATCCTCTTCTGGATCATCCAAATGCACTCTAGCAAACTTCAGACGGGCCTGGACATGTACTGGCTTAAGCAGGGGGACACGTCTAGCACTGCAGGATTTGAGTCGCTGGCGGCGTAGTGTGTTACTGATGGTAGGCTTTGTTACTTTGGTCCCAGCTCTCTGCAGGTCATTCACTAGGTCCCCCCGTGTGGTTCTGGGATTTTTGCTCACCGTTCTTGTGATCATTTTGACCCCACGGGGTGAGATCTTGCATGGAGCCCCAGATCGAGGGAGATTATCAGTGGTCTTGTATGTCTTCCATTTCCTAATAATTGCTCCCACAGTTGATTTCTTCAAACCAAGCTGCTTACCTATTGCAGATTCAGTCTTCCCAGCCTGGTGCAGGTCTACAATTTTGTTTCTGGTGTCCTTTGACAGCTCTTTGGTCTTGGCCATAGTGGAGTTTGGAGTGTGACTGTTTGAGGATGTGGACAGGTGTCTTTTATACTGATAACAAGTTCAAACAGGTGCCATTAATACAGGTAACGATTGGAGGACAGATGAGCCTCTTAAAGAAGAAGTTACAGGTCTGTGAGAGCCAGAAATCTTGCTTGTTTGTAGGTGACCAAATACTTATTTTCCACCATCATTTGCAAATAAATTCATTAAAAATACTACAATGTGATTTTCTGGATTTGTCTGTCATAGTTGACGTGTACCTATGATGAAAATTACAGGCCTCTCTCATCTTTTTAAGTGGGAGAACTTGCACAATTGGTGGCTGACTAAATACTTTTTTCCCCCACTGTATGTATTGATATGTTGGCTACGTGTGCCTTTTGTAAAAAAAAATAACAAATAGAAAAGTGTAGTTCTGTTCTTGAGCTGTTGTCTATTAATGTTCTGTATTATGTCATGTTTTGTGTGGACCCCAGAAAGAGTAGCTGCTGCTTTTGCAACAGCTAATGGGGTTCCTAATAAAATACCAATACCAATTGATGTTCAAATATACAAATCAAATGTATTTATAAAGCCCTTTTTACACCAGAAGATGTCACAAAATGCTATACAGAAACCCAGCCTAAAACCCCAAACAGCAAGCAATGCAGATATACAGACAGTCATTCAACAGTAGAACATCTGACAGTGACTGACTGGTTTAATAGGTATTTAATGTGGTGTGTTATTGTGTGTTTGGTGCAGCGAAGAGCAACCCATCCACTGAGGGCTCAGAGAGAGGACAGAGGGACAAGAGAGACAGCAGCCAGACTTCCTCGGGAGAAAAGGACACCTCAGACAGCCGCAAAGCCACTCAGGTAGTCTACTCTATATTCCACCATATACCCTGGCCAATCTGGTACTGTATATTCTACTATATTCTACTCTTCCTCCACGAATAATATGAGTGGTCTGAGGGAAAAATCAATGCCTCTTTTTATCCCATCCACATTTCTAAATGAATAAATGGACAAATAACTTCCTCAGATATGGTTGTGTTTGTATGTTTGTCGGTTGAAATAGCTAGGCAAGCTGTTACAGCCATGTTTCTGCTAAAACTCCATAATGTGACTGTGTGTTTCTGTGGTTGTGTCTGGGCTGGCAGGATCCGGAGGAAGAGGCTCCTCGCAGTAAGAAGAACAAGCAGGAGTCTCCATCTCAGGACTACGAGGAGAAATAGTCACGCTGCATCCTTTCTTCTCTCTATCCTCTTCCTCCCCTGCGTAGCCCCTAACAGTCCTCTGAGCAGAGGGAGAAAGGACTTTACCTCCCTTCACTGAGCCCCTCTTCTCTTCTTGCACACTCACTCCCTCACTAATGCCACGAGTAGCTCTATGATCCAGCCTGTTATCCCTTCCATGGCCAGGGGTGGCGCTGTGAGCTCAGCTGCGCACAGAAGAGAAACACAATTCTGACATTTTGACGCTACGGCGTCTCAAAATGAACAATCAGTACTATTGACGCTTTTTCAAAAAAGAAATTAAACGAAGGTCTTTTAAGGGATTATGCAAGCACACTTGTTCGTTTCGGCTAGCCGAGTTCGGCTAAGCGCCAGCCAAAGTTAAGCATGCTGACGCCTTAAGGGCGTCTTCTAACCCAGGAGCCACGTCAAACCTCCCCCTAACTCACCTCTGGTTGTTATGGTGTTTGTTTAGGACAGTTTCCGGTTGTTACGTTTAGTTTTGGGGTTGTTGTTTAGCTCAAAAGGGTCAATGCACTGTTAAGGTATAATGTCACAAAAACAACGCACCATGGTGTTACTGCTGCTGTACTGGGTGTAGATTTGTGTCCTTTTTATATATCTTTTTTTACTCGCTTTGTTTTCTAGAGGTAGAACAACACAGTGGTACTGGTCACATTTATGTTTTCCCGTAATCGTAAGGATAAGCTTGTAGCGTAGGTAGTGGTCCTCTGTAGCTCAGCTGGTAGAGCACGGCGCTTGTAACGCCAAGGTAGTGGGTTCGATCCCCGGGACCACCTATACACAAAAAAAATGTATGCACGCATGACTGTAAGTCGCTTTGGATAAAAGCGTCTGCTAAATGGCATATTATTATTATTATCTGAGGGTGTGCCTTGGTTGCTATAGTAAAACGTACTTAGTAGGTAAGACTGTTTTTTAACTACTTTTTTAGTGCCATGTTTTTATTTGCCTTATGTTTTAAACATGTCATTGAGTTGACACTAAATAATTGTATTAAATATTGACATTTAACTATGAACAACAGGTTAAGTTTCACATTGGTTACAGTTAGAAAGATGTCAACATCTACTGTATGTACCAAGCTGCATACAGTAGATGAAAACTACTGAACCATTTCTGCAAACCTTCTGAAAGCAGAATTTACTTTGAGAGAGTCAGCAGCTTCCCACTAGCCTGGGTGCCAGTCTGTGTCTTTAACCAGCTCCTTTCCTACCAAAAGACATGATAACCACAAAAGAGTTGAGGAGTTCAGCAGAAACAGGATGGAATCCAGGCTAAATTCTCACTTGGTCAACAGCAATGACAGTTTTTATATGATGACATTCAAATCAAATCAAACATGCGCCGAATACAACAGGTGCAGACATTACAGTGAAATGCTTACTTACAGCCCTTAACCAACAGTGCATTTATTTTTAATAAAAAAGTAGAATAAAACAAAAAAAGTCTTGAGAAAAAAAGAGCAGAAGTAAAATAAAATAACAGTAGGGAGGCTATATATACAGGGGGGTACCGGTGCAGAGTCAATGTGCGGGGGCACCGGCTAGTTGAGGTAGTTAAAGTAATATGTACATGTGGGTAGAGTTAAAGTGACTATGCATAAATAATTAACAGAGTAGCAGCAGCGTAAAAAGATGGGGGTGGGGGGGGCAGTGCAAATAGTCTGGGTAGCCATGATTAGCTGTTCAGGAGTCTTATGGCTTGGGGGTAGAAGCTGTTGAGAAGTCTTTTGGACCTAGACTTGGCACTCCGGTACCGCTTGCTGTGCGGTAGCAGAGAGAACAGTCTATGACTAGGGTGGCTGGAGTCTTTGACAATTTTGAGGGCCTTCCTCTGACACCACCTGGTATAGAGGTCCTGGAAGGCAGGAAGCTTGGCCCCAGTGATGTTCTGGGCCGTACGCACTACCCTCTGTAGTGCCTTGCGGTCGGAGGACAAGCAGTTGCCATACCAGGTGGTGATGCAACCAGATTCTTATTAATAACATTCAGTTACAGTCTTCATTCTCATCTCTGTAGTTTAAATGTAATGTCTACTACTACTGTGTATTACCTTTATACTCCACTCAGCTCACAGCAGAGGATCCAGTCAGTCTCGTAGTTCAAACTGTGGCTCAGATTCTCATTCAAGGTGCTCTCTGTGGGTTGCAACCTAGCTTCAGAATAAGGGGAGGAACGCATATTCACACATCTATCAACTTTTAGAATGATCTTGTACAGATTGATGGTTAGTTTGGATTTATTTATTCCATCGCTATTGCTCGGATTTGATTATGTCCAATGGTTTTGTTTTATTAATAAGAATCTACATAACATTCTGTTACCCGTTCACACAATTTCAGACGTACTAACTCCAGTACTAGCCAACTCTTCAACATAGTCGGGTAAGCCTCAGTATTTCTGTATTTTCCTTTCTGTTTGAATTATAGGTCAAAATAACCAATCTTTCCCACATAGTTAGGATTTAGGCCTGCAGATTTCTTCTAATGCATATTTTGTGTTGATATTCTAGTGTGAATGAGGATCACATTAGACTCAGAGGGAAGGGAATCAGTGGTAGCATCTGGCTTTCAGTGTGCAGTACTAAAATACTTCCCTAATCCCTTCCCCTTCTCTTTTAGGGGCCTGTGGTTATTTAATGATTATTTTCCTCCTGTTATGTTTGACTACATTGGCTGGGAGGGGAACTCATGAAAAATGGAGAGGGTTATTTCAGTTCCCCTTGTCCTGTCAGGGGTAATGGATCTGGGGATGAATGAATCATGAGCAGCTCCTGTACTTATTGGTCTTAGAGATGGAAACAGCCTGGTAGTTAGTTAGTAAAGGGGGTGGCTGGCTGGCGGCCTTGGGGGGGCTGAGCAGAGAGGAGTCTTGTCCAGAAACAATCCCTACTCCTCCCCACTGGACACTCCGTGAAGATCTGAAAGGATGGATTGGATAGGTGTACGCAATATGGTTGTAGTTTATTCCACTTAGTCTTCTATTGATAGATTGTTGGACTATAGCTTACATCATCAGATAAGAGAAACTCAAGACGCCACAGATGGAGTATTTGTTTTTATAGTATCTGTTGTATTGAATCATTAGGTGTATACAGAACATAGAAAAACAGTACCACTTTCAGGGTCCTCATCTGTAAAGGGTTTATAACGGTTTATGAACTACAAACCCTTTATAAAGCCTTTATAGATGATGCCTTAACGTTAAGTGTAACATAGAAAACGGTGCACTAATCAGACACGTCACTTAGTACAGTAGAAAGAGTCAACAATGTGCTTATAGAGTTAACATCTTTACAAGTGTGTTAAGTTTGTTCCCTGGAGTCGATCCAGCGTTATCACACAACAACGTACAGGTCAGTTTCCTATCAAGACAGGGCGGAAGAATAAAATACACATCAAATATCCTTTTGTTTCCATGGCACCTTGTGCACATTCTGTTCTTTCAGAAAACGTCTGATGGGTATTTACAAAGACAGGTGTCATTGGTTAGTCACATATATCTAGCATACATATCTTTGATACACTGCGAGATTCAATATGATCCTAACTGTGTGCTTCAGTACATAGCTCTAGTACACGTATATCTATACAGGTCGTTTTTAAAAGACAATACATAAAAAACATCTACATAAAACGTGACAGTAACTACTAGGTACCATTCTGTCTTGACATTTATTATCAAATCAATAAGTTAAGACTATCTTTGTTTTAGAATGGCAGTATATAAGTGTGTCCTGTATTCTAAAAGAGGGAGTTTTAAAGTGAGTAGTGCAGTAAGTTAATAGTGGCTGGCATCCTGTTGCCTTGGTTTGGTTTGGGCCTGCAACTAGCGCAGGTTGACGTTAATAGTTATGAGTCTTGTCCTGGATGCAGAACTTAGCGATTTCCCTTTAGATAGGCCAGCTGCAAAGTAAAAATTGGCTATATTGTGAAAATGTATTAAAACAAAAATGTGCTTTTTGTTCTTAATTTAAGGTTAAAATCAGATTTTAGGACTTTGTGGCTGTGCCAGCTAGTGACCACTCTGCAGAACTGCCTCCAGAACAAGATTCATGACGAAAAACGCGAACCTTTGCAACTAGCACCAGGCTAATGTTCAGTGGGCATGAAAACAGAAAACTGAAAATGAGCTTTTTTTGTGGAGAATTTCCCAAAATATCTCAGTTCTTAAACATTCTCTACCATTTCGTGCCTACTGAACGCAACCTAGTGGTACAAGTAGATGTGTCCTGTGGTACTAGCTGTTCCCTGTGTGGAGTGGACATCCCTAGGGTCCATGTCAGGGCCTGGACACAGTACACTGACTCAGAATGTGTTAGAGAAACATGAATCATTAATAGTGCTATTAGCAGTGAACCAGTCTGGTGCATCCAGGCCCTTCACCACACGTACGTCTGCGTCAAGTGCCCTCCCTCTTGCCCGGTTCAGTAGGAACTGAAGTCAAAAACCAACCCATGCTGTATATAAAAACAAACAAATACATAAAAGAATGAACTAATATCAGAAGACTGATTCCTTTATGAACTAATGACAGAAGACTGATTCCTTTAGGAACTAATAACAGAAGACTGATTCATTTAGGAACTAATATCAGAAGACTGATTCCTTTATGAACTAATGACAGAAGACTGATTCCTTTATGAACTAATGACAGAAGACTGATTCCTTTAGGAACTAATAACAGAAGACTGATTCATTTAGGAACTAATAACAGAAGACTGATTCCTGTATTAACTAATACCAGAAGACTGATTCCTTTATGAACTAATAACAGAAGACTGATTCCTTTTGTTCCAATCCTAAAATTGATATTTCACCACAGCAGCATATCTCTGGATGTAGGAGAGGGAGTTAGAGAGAGAGGAGAGGGATAAGAGGAGAGTTAGAGAGAGGGAGGAGAGTTAGAAGAAGTATTTGAAATAGTAGGAGAGTATTTTGTAGCAGGTGATTAAGGGTTATCTGAGTGGACTATGACAGTGGGTGACATACATAAATACAATATGTTATTAAAAACCCAGAGAAAGGAGTCTGGTGTGTGTTTGGTGGTCTGTGCAGGGCCTGGTCCTAAGCTAGGGCCTGGCATGGGTGGGGTGAGTAGATGAGAGTGTGTCTAGAAGGTCTGGTCTTCCTGGCAGGACTCTGTGGAGTGACCGAAGGCCTCACAGATGTCGCAGTACGGCCGCTGGTCGGCGGGTTTGCCCTTGAAGGAAGAGTGGGGGACAGAGTCAGGGCTCTGGGCCTGGGTCGGACAGTCCTCTGTGTCATGGAGGTCAAAACAGTCACAGATATCACAGAACAGACGAGGAGGAGCCTTCTTGTCTTTCTTAGATCCACCCTCCTCCAAACTAGAGACAGAGAGAAAGGGAGAAGGAGGGAGAGCGAGCGAGAGAGAGGAAAGGAGTGATTAGGGAGATGATGATCAATAATGAATTTACAGGGGTCTGTCAACAACTGTAACTAAGGACTAAGTTTGGAGTTAGGGTTCAGCGGTTATAGGTCATAAGACTGACCCATCAGTGCCGTCATTGCCGTTGAACTCCGCCAGAGCCATCTTCTTCAGCTTGACCTTCAACTCCTCATTCTTCCTCTGCAGGTCCACGATCACACTGTTCAGGAAGTTAATCTGAAGGAGGGAAATAGATGGAGAGAGAGAAGAGAGAGAGACCGCAGTCAAGTTTATATAAGAAAGAGAAAGGTTGACTGAGAGACAATGGTGGAAGCGCGGATATCTTTCTATGCAAATGATATACTGCATTAGTGACAAGCAGATGATGAAGTTGTATTACTAATTGCCAATCATACCTGTCCTTCTGCAAACTCCTTCTCTTCTCTCAACTGGTCCAGAGCTGTGTCACCTGAGGAAGGCACTCCACTGTCCCCTCCCTCGGAGACCTGCCGTCCCATGAGCCTCTGCTCCAGGCTGGTGACGCGTTCCTGTAGCTGTGCCTTGTCTCTCTCCAGCATCTCCACGGCAGTCTGCAGCGTCTTGGCCATGGCGTTCTCACCTCGTAGCACCGCGATCTATAGGGAGAGGGAGACAGAGAAGTTTCAGTTAATATACAGATACAGCTATTTTATGCCAGTCCAGAGAAAAAGCATAGCACTCAATGCAAGTTCTTAATTTCTTCAGCAAAAGACCCAGAGTCTGCCAGAGTTGTGTATATACACTATACCTCATTCCTCAGAGTCTCCAGCTCTTTGTCCTCATCTGTCTTCTGGAAGTTTCTCTCCTCCCCTGTCTCCTGGTTGGACAGAGTTTCCCTGAGGAGGAACAGAGGCAGAGAACCGCTTAATACAGAACTCACCCAGCAACACTGGGACTGGCAAGAACAGTGCAGTACTGTGTGTGTGTGTGGATAAGATCGTTAATAGTTTCCAATATACACAGATGTTTTCGCCTAGGCTACACAGCAGAACGTTGTAGCAAATTCGGAGGGCAGACTGACAGGGACTCAACCCCAGTTCTCGTTCAGTGACAGTCCCAATAAAGTTTTTTGTTTGGTGCTCATAACGGACTATGGCCGTTAGAAGAGTGTATGCCTATAGTCTGAAATTGCCAGGGGGATACTTGGGGTGTGTGTGTGTGTGTGTGTGTGTGTGTGTGTGTGTGTGTGTACATGTCTCTATCGGTACAGTGTCTGATGAAGGTCTCTGAATGGAACGTCACGCAATGTTTTTAACTTTTGATTTACCATGAATAATATATTTTTATAATAGAGTTTCACACCTCAATTTAATGTGTAAAAAACTTCACACAATAGTTTGTAGTGATACTCAAGGAAGTGAGACAAGCTTCACTAAAACACACTGACAGTAGTTAGCTCATTTTCACTCACTACACTGGGAAGCCCTGACAACACTAATCCACATGTTGAAATCCATCAGACGTGACGACCAGCAGCAGCAGAGGGAGGAGTCAGATTATAGTGGATTAACCTGTCTGTGGATGGCATTACCCTGCTGGGTCTCATCCAATACAACCACATGGAACAACAACCTCAATCACAACAGATGTAGCTTTGATGTCTCTCCCTAAACAAAGCCTGTACTATAGATACATGTCTAGATATATACAGTGGGGAAAAAAGTATTTAGTCAGCCACCAATTGTGCAAGTTCTCCCACTGAAAAAGATGAGAGAGGCCTGTAATTTTCATCATAGGTACACGTCAACTATGACAGACAAAATGAGATTTTTTTTTCCAGAAAATCACATTGTAGGATTTTTAATGAATTTATTTGCAAATTATGGTGGAAAATAAGTATTTGGTCACCTACAAACAAGCAAGATTTCTGGCTCTCACAGACCTGTAACTTCTTCTTTAAGAGGCTCCTCTGTCCTCCACTCGTTACCTGTATTAATGGCACCTGTTTGAACTTGTTATCAGTATAAAAGACACCTGTCCACAACCTCAAACAGTCACACTCCAAACTCCACTATGGCCAAGACCAAAGAGCTGTCAAAGGACACCAGAAACAAAATTGTAGACCTGCACCAGGCTGGGAAGACTGAATCTTCAATAGGTAAGCAGCCTGGTTTGAAGAAATAATAATAATAATAATAATAAACTGTGGGAGCAATTATTAGGAAATGGAAGACATACAAGACCACTGATAATCTCCCTCGATCTGGGACTCCACGCAAGATCTCACCCCGTGGGGTCAAAATGATCACAAGAACAGTGAGCAAAAATCCCAGAACCACACAGGGGGACCTAGTGAATGACCTGCAGAGAGCTGGGACCAAAGTAACAAAGCCTACCATCAGTAACACACTACGCCGCCAGGGACTCAAATCCTGCAGTGCCAGACGTGTCCCCCTGCTTAAGCCAGTACATGTCCAGGCCCGTCTGAAGTTTGCTAGAGTGCATTTGGATGATCCAGAAGAGGATTGGGAGAATGTCATATGGTCAGATGAAACCAAAATAGAACTTTTTGGTAAAAACTCAACTCGTCGTGTTTGGAGGACAAAGAATGCTGAGTTGCATCCAAAGAACACCATACCTACTGTGAAGTATGGGGGTGGAAACATCATGCTTTGGGGCTGTTTTTCTGCAAAGGGACCAGGACGACTGATCCGTGTAAAGGAAAGAATGAATGGGGCCATGTATCGTGAGATTTTGAGTGAAAACCTCCTTCCATCAGCAAGGGCATTGAAGATGAAATGTGGCTGGGTCTTTCAGCATGACAATGATCCCAAACACACCGCCCGGGCAACGAAGGAGTGGCTTCGTAAGAAGCATTTCAAGGTCCTGGAGTGGCCTAGCCAGTCTCCAGATCTCAACCCCATAGAAAATCTTTGGAGGGAGTTGAAAGTCCGTGTTGCCCAGCGACAGCCCCAAAACATCACTGCTCTAGAGGAGATCTGCATGGAGGAATGGGCCAAAATACCAGCAACAGTGTGTGAAAACCTTGTGAAGACTTACAGAAAACGTTTGACCTGTGTCATTGCCAACAAAGGGTATATAACAAAGTATTGAGAAACTTTTGTTATTGACCAAATACTTATTTTCCACCATAATTTGCAAATACATTTATAAAAAATCCTACAATGTGATTTTCTGGATTTTTTTTCTCATTTTGTCTGTCATAGTTGACGTGTACCTATGATGAAAATTACAGGCCTCTCTCATCTTTTTAAGTGGGGGAACTTGCACAATTGGTGGCTGACTAAATACTTTTTTCCCCCACTGTACTATTCTAGATCCTATCTGTATCCATTCCTGTCTGGGTTAGGTAGTGCTGCTGAATCATTACATTTACATTTTAGTCATTTAGCAGACGCTCTTATCCAGAGCGACTTACAGTTAGTGAGTACATTCATTTTTCATACCTTATACTATTTATCTTATATATAGTAATTCTCTTTAGTTTAGATTTTTCCCCGATATAGTTAGTTATAATTTAACATTATGCAAAGCTGGAAAAAGTATTAATTTCGCATCATACACGTTGCCACTTTTATTTTGAAGGCAAACTCGGAAAAAACGGAAGTCTAAATGTTGCTGCGGTGACACTAATTGGTCTTCGGCTCCATCAACGTGGTACACTCACCGAGGTATAATAAGAACGGGCACAATAATCTCCCCCTTCTTCAGGCACTTCCGGTAAACAGGGCTTGACCATTCTGTACTGTATGTATACCATATGTGCAATCACATGCATGTACTCATTCACTGTAGGCCTACTGAACGTTATCTGTAGCAAACACAATTGGTGGCATACTTCACATTAGAGTGAACCCCCTGCCATCGGGGTCAACCTCATTACTGGAATCTACATGATTTCTATTCTAACACATTTCACCATGTTGCATCAGACAAAACATCTGTCGTCTCTGAATAAAGTGAAACCCTCCATAGTAACATTATAAGGAAACCTGCATTTTGCATTTCCACTCATTGCACAGTATTGTGTGTATGCAAGCTTTGGTCCTGGCCACTCAAACTTCTCAAACAACCATTGTTCACTTAAAAAAAAAAAAAAAAAAATCAGTTGCTTTGCTAGTAAATCATGTTTTCAACTATTCCCTACATGCAATTCCATTGACTTCGTGAAACCTTCCCTGGCACAAGAAATTCCATTTCATAATGTTCTATTGTCAAGTCAACACAGTCTTCACACATTTCTGAAATGATCAGTCACTCAAATGAACATACTTTGTAGTGTTGGACAAAGGGATAGGAAATGCTTATATCAATTTGTACTGTAGTTTCACAAGGAATCGAGCGCCATCTTTGTAGTCAATTTCACTATGGAAACCATGGGACCACCCAGGGCACTCCTATTGCAGAAGCAGAGTGAATCACAGATCATAACTGACTCTGGGTGTGAAACATTCCCCTGATGTCTCCTGACTGATTAGTTCTGCTCTACATAACCTTCCTCTCATCATTTCCCTATGGCTTAAATAACCTTTCTGACACCATCCTCCTCTCTTCTCCCTTCCCCTCCTTTCTCCTCCCATTCCCTCTCATCTCCACCCCAACTTTTTCTCCTCCCCTCCCCTCCCCTCCCCTCCTCTCCTCTCCCCTCCCCTACCTCCATCCTTTCTTCCCTTTTCATCTCCTGTCATTACAAGTGTTAGTGAAGGGATATACAAAGACATCTGTAAATCCTGTCATCATGCAGACAGAGAAACAGAAACACTGAAAATGTTTACACTCAACCCGGTCTACCTAAGACAGCAGAGAAAAGATTGTGCCATAAATGTCTTACCTGTCTGCAGCACTGGGAGAGGGAGGGAGAGAGAGAGAGAGAGAGAGAGAGAGAGAGAGAGAGAGAGAGAGAGAGAGAGAGAGAGAGAGAGAGAGAGAGAGAGAGAGAGAGAGAGAGAGAGAATAAGGGAGAAAGGGGTGAGTTGCCTTCCAGTGACAGTCAACATTTGTGACACTCAATAACATTAAACATGCATTATATCTAGAGGTACTTTCTAATAAAGGGCAATCAACATCAATAACAACACATTTATACAGAAATAACAATCTATTTACAGCACACAGTATCTCTGCTATTCTCCCAGACGAGATGTCTCTGGCAGCACAAAGCTGCGCTTGCTTGCTCGCTCTCACACACACCCACAAACATGTGCACAGACATGTGCTTGCAGGCCTGTGCAAATGCACACATCATGGAGGTCATGAGACGCGATGCACGGCGCAGCCATGTTGGAGGCAGGCGGTTCTAGGAGAAGATGTGATTATATAACAACTCATAGTATTTATCTTATGGGTGGAGGGAGAGAAGGATGAGTCTGTCTCTTTATAGGATGAAGGGAGAGAGGGATGAGTCTGTCTCTTTATAGGATGGAGGGAGAGAGGGATGAGTCTGTCTCTTTATAGGATTAAGGGAGAGAGGGATGAGTCTGTCTCTTTATAGGATGGAGGGAGAGAGGGATGAGTCTGTCTCTTTATAGGATGGAGGGAGAGAGGGATGAGTCTGTCTCTTTATAGGATGAAGGGAGAGGGATGAGTCTGTCTCTTTATAGGATGAAGGGAGAGAGGGATGAGTCTGTCTCTTTATAGGATGGAGGGAGAGAGGGATGAGTCTGTCTCTTTATAGGATGGAGGGAGAGAGGGATGAGTCTGTCTCTTTATAGGATGGAGGGAGAGAGGGATGAGTCTGTCTCTTTATAGGATGAAGGGAGAGAGGGATGATCGTCTCTTTAGGATGAAGGGAGAGAGAGATGAGTCGTCTCTTTATAGGGAGGGGGGAGAGGGATGAGTCTGTCTCTTTATAGGATGAAGGGAGAGGGATGAGTCTGTCTCTTTATAGGATAAAGGGAGAGGGGGATGAGTCTGTCTCTTTATAGATGAAGGGAGAGAGGGATGAGTCTGTCTCTTTATAGAATGAAGGGAGAGAGGATGAGTCGTCTCTTTATAAGATAAAGGGAGAGAGGGGATGAGTCTGTCTCTTTATTGATGAGGAGAGAGGGATGAGTCTGTCTCTTTATAGGATGGGGAGAGAGGATGATCGTCTCTTATAGATGAAGGGAGAGAGGGATGAGTTGTCTCTTTATAGGATGAAGGGAGAGAGGGATGGGGTCTGCTCTTATAGGATGAAGGGAGAGAGGGATGAATCTGTCTTTTTATAGGATGGGGGGAGAGGGATGATTCTGTCTCTTTATAGGATAAAGGGGAGAGGGATGAGTCTGTCTCTTTATAGATGAAGGGAGAGGGGATGAGTCGTCTCTTTATGGGATGGAGGGAGAGAGGGATGAGTCTGTCTCTTTTTTAGGATGAGGGAGAGGGATGGAGTCTGTCTCTTTAAGGATGAAGGGAGAGAGGGATGAGTCTCTCTTTATAGGATGGGGGAGAGAGGGATAGTCTGTCTCTTATATGGAAGGGAGAGGGATGAGTCTGTCTCTTTATGGATGTAGGGAGAGAGGGATGAGTCTGTCTCTTTATAGGATGAAGGGAGAGAAGATGAGTGTCTCTTATAGGATGAACGGGAGCGGGATGAGTCTGTCTCTTTTTAGGATGAAGGGAGAGGGGGATGAGTCTGTCTCTTTATAGGATGGAGGGAGAGAGGGATGAGTTTTGTCTCTTTATAGATGGAGGGGGGGAGAGGGATGAGCCCTGTCTCTTTATAGGATGAGGGAGAGAGGGATGAGTCTGTCTCTTTATAGGATTAGGGAGAGAGGGATAGTCTGTCTCTTTATAGGATGGAGGAGAGAGGGATGAGTCTGTTTCTTTATAGGATGAAGGGAGAGAGGGATATCTGTCTCTTTATAGGATGGAGGGAGAGAGGGATGAGTCTGTCTCTTATGGGATGGAGGGAAGGGGATGAGTCTGTCTCTATATGATGGAGGGAGAGAGGGATGAGTCTGTCTCTTTATAGGATGGGGGGGAGGGAGAGGGATGGGAGAGTCGTCTCTTAAGGATGGAGGGAGAGAGGGATGAGCCCGGTCTCTTTATGGGATGAGGGAGAGAGGGTTTGAGTCTGTCCTTATAGGAGGAGGGAGAGAGGGAGAAGTCTGTCTCTTTATAGGATGGAGGGAGAGAGGGATGAGTCTGTCTCTATATGATGGAGGGGGGAGAGGGATGATCGTCTCTTTTAGGATGGGGGGAAGAGGGATGGGAAAGTCGTCCTTTATAGGGGGAGGGAGAGAGGGATGAGTCTGTCTCTTTATAGGATGGAGGGAGAGAGGGATGAGTCTGTCTCTATAGGACGGAGGGAGAGAGGGATGAGTCTGTCTCTTTATAGATGAAGGAAGAGGGATGAGTCTGTCCTTTATAGGATGGAGGGAGAGGGATGAGTCTGTCTCTATAGGATGGCGGGAGAGAGGGATGAGTCTGTCTCTTTATAGGATGGAGGGAGAGAGGGATGAGTCTGTCTCTATAGGATGGAGGGAGAGGGATGAGTATGTCTCTATAGGATGGAGGGAGAGAGGGATGAGTCTGTCTCTTTATAGGTGGAGGGAGGGGGGGAGGGGATGAGTCTGTCTCTATAGGACGGAGGGAAGGAAGGGATGAGTCTGTCTCTTTTAGGATGAGGGAAGGGATAGTCTGTCTCTTTATAGGAGGGAGAGAGAGAAGGGTGGAGTCTGTACTCTTTATAGGATGGAGGAGAGGGGATGATCTGTCTTATAAGGATGGAGGGAGAGGATGAGTATGTTCTATAGGATGGAGGGCAGGAGGGGATGAGTCTGTCTCTTATAGGATGGAGGGAGAGAGGATGAGCTCCTCTATAGGCGAGGGAGAGAGGGATGAGTCTGTCTCTTTATAGGATGAAGGGAGAGAGGGATGAGTCTGTTCTTATGGAAATGGAGGGAGAGAGGGAGAGTCTGTCTTTTGGGGGGAAGGAGGGAGAGAGGGGATGAGTCTGTCTCTAAGGATGGAGGGAGGGGATGATCTTCTCTTTATAGATGGAGGGAGAAGAGGATGAGTCTGTCTCTATAGGATGGAGGGAGAGGGATGAGTCTGTCTATCGGATGGAGGGAGAGGGATGAGTCTGTCTCTATCGGATGGAGGGAGGGATGAGTCTGTCTCTATAGGATGGAGGGAGAGGGATGAGTCTGTCTCTATAGGATGGAGGGAGAGGGATGAGTCTGTCTCTATAGGATGGAGGGAAGGATGAGTTTTGTCTCAAAGGGATGGAGGGAGAGGGATGAGTCTGTCTCTATAGGATGGAGGGAGAGGGATGAGTCTGTCTCTATCGGATGGAGGGAGAGGGATGAGTCTGTCTCTATAGGATGGAGGGAGAGGGATGAGTCTGTCTCTATCGGATGGGGGGAGAGGGATGAGTCTGTCTCTATAGGATGGAGGAGAGAGGGATGAGTCGGGTCTCTATAGGATGGGGGAGAGGGATGAGTCTGTCTCTATCGGATGGAGGGAGAGGGATGAGTCTGTCTCTATAGGATGGAGGGAGAGGGATGAGTCTGTCTCTATAGGATGGAGGGAGAGGGATGAGTCTGTCTCTATAGGATGGAGGGAGAGAGGGATGAGTCTGTCTATATAGGATGGAGGGAGAGGGATGAGTCTGTCTCTATCGGATGGAGGGAGAGGGATGAGTCTGTCTCTATAGGATGGAGGGAGAGGGATGAGTCTGCCCTTACGGATGGAGGGAGAGGTTTATCTGTCTCTATAGGATGGAGGGAGAGAGGGATGAGTCTGTCTCTATAGGATGGAGGGAGAGAGGGATGAGTCTGTCTCTATAGGATGGAGGGAGAGAGGGATGAGTGAAGGAGAAGAAAGATGTATGGCCACTAATAGATGAATCAGGACAAAGTGAATAATAAAGGACCTGATGACACACACACACACACACACACACACACACACACACACACACACACACACACACACACACAACGTTAAACATGCATACATGCACACCAACATGTACACACACAGACGTGTGCACTCATGCACACACAGACCTATAAATAGAACCCTACGTCATGCATGACGCTCACCATAACAAAGAGAGGAGCCTAGATTCATATGGACTGTCTTTCTCTCTCTGTAGCAGCTTCCCTACATACCTGTACATACAGTAGCATACTGCTGTCTAGTAAGGCACAGAGGAAACTATGTCATCATAACTGGTTACTGGTTTTTAGGTTCTAATACCAGAAGACTACGTTCTACACAGCATGCTTACACACTGGTATTACAGACTGACTATACAAGTGAATTGTACTTAAAGCTCTCTCAATCTTTCTAATGATCTCCCTCTTAAATCTCCCACTCCATCTCTCGATCGTTCGATTTCTCTCTCAATCTACCGCTCAATCTCTCACTCTCTCTGTGTGTCACGGCCATATCATCAGCATGAGTAAGCAGCATGAGTAAGATTTATATATGAGTCTATGACTCTATTTGAGTAAGACTTTGATATGAGCCTCTCTCACGTTTCCCTGCACGGCTTCTGATGCACTGGTCTAACCCACACTCTGAAACACCTCAAAGCCACATAACATATACTCCTCCTGTGTGTTTTGGGCCCAAAGAAGCTGGCATGTTGGGTTTAGTCGCTGTTTCCAGGGCAGTCTGTAGTCAATGTATAAATTGAACGCTGAATGCCACCGTATCTGCTGAAGAACCAATCATTTCCATGCACAGAATTCCAATATGCTGGTACTCCTAGTTCTAGTTCTACTCATTTTTACTAGCACAATATTCCAATACTCTAGTTTCAGCCATTCACACAAACATTCCATCAAGCAAGTGTAAGAACCTTCAGCCATACTCACATTTCCTTGCACAGAGTTCTGATGTGCTGGCTTTCTGAGCTGCTCCGCTCCTGCGAGAGACTGAGTTCTTCCTGGAATTTGGAATTCTGCTGTTTCAGCGCCTCGAGCTGGAAGATGATCCACGGATGGATGAAAAGATGAAAGGAAGGACAGAGACAGACAATAGAGAAAGAGAGATTTAGACACACAGTAAACAGTCAACAGAAAAAGCTGTCTCTTCTTCACGCCTCTCTAACAGTCTTAGTCACGGACATTAACATGAAGCCACAGTGCTGCGTTACGCTGCTCCACTGGAACAGCCGCTTCCTCAGTACACAAAGATAAACATTACTCATTATATGAGCTGTCTGCCAAACATAGGTACAGAGACATACTGTGAGTGTGTGAGGGATGGAGTCACATCTAGCATCAATGTCCAAGCATTATTTTGTTTCTTTATTATTTATTCCCAGCTCATCAGAAAAATATGTATAGATTTGTGAGACTTGGCATCTTCAGTTAAACCACCATTAGGGAGGAGATGGTTCCTCCATCGTCAGTTAAACCACCATTAGGGAAGAAACGGCTCCTCCATCGTCAGTTAAACCACCATTAGGGAGGAGATGGTTCCTCCATCGTCAGTTAAACCACCATTAGGGAGGAGATGGTTCCTCCATCGTCAGTTAAACCACCATTAGGGAAGAAACGGCTCCTCCATCGTCAGTTAAACCACCATTAGGGAGGAGATGGTTCCTCCATCGTCAGTTAAACCACCATTAGGGAAGAAACGGCTCCTCCATCGTCAGTTAAACCACCATTAGGGAGGAGATGGTTCCTCCATCGTCAGTTAAACCACCATTAGGGAGGAGATGGTTCCTCCATCGTCAGTTAAACCATCATTAGGGAGGAGACGGTTGCTCTGAGGCAAAGCCAGCAGAGACCATGCAGAGATAATGATAATGACTAAAAGATAATGTTGGTTCCTAAAGGGACAGCAGCACAGGGGGTATCAAACCATGAGCGTTCAGATCATGAGTCAAACTTAAAGTCATTTTAAGCTTTCACTACTACCAAGACAGGGGTCCCCAATTACATTCAGCCACGGGCCGATTCTTTGTTGAGCGGATGGTCGGGTTGCTGGAACATAATTATAAATAATTTGTACACTGCAAATTGACCGCAAGAAGCCCAAACCGACATAGTATTTGACGAAAACAGAATCATTTCAAACCTTGATTACATTGGGATATGATCACATATGACTCTCTATTTATGTGTGGGGATACTTGGGAACAGATTTCTTATTTAAAATACATTTAATGTCCAACAACTAAACACATTTTTTTTTTAAATTGAAAACTTGGGGGGCCAAAGAAAATCACCCACGGGCCGCCCACACACACACATCCAACAAGATACAAACAACCAGACAACAAACTGATCCTCAGTCCCAAAGGCAAAAACGACAATCTCTCTTCCTAAAAATACAATCATCTAAATCAGTAACCTCATGTACTTTCATATTCAAATCATCCTCAGTCATCCTCCCTCAATTACCGTTCAAGAACAAATCGCCCCCAAATAGAAGACAACTGCAGCAGATTGAAACACAGGGTTGAACTAAAAAACAATCAGCTAAAACATCAACATTCCATTTGAATGACGACACACAGATGTAAGAAATCTGATGCGAGGAACAGAACAGCTGTGTTTACCTGGTAGTGAGAGGAGTAGACGCTGCCTGGATAGCCCTGCTGCAGAGCAGCCACATCCATGCCTGCACAGTTCTACCCTACAGTGTGGTCCTCTGTCAGAGCTCTCTCTCTCTCTCTCTCCCAGTACTGGTCTGTCGGTCTATCCCAGTGACAGGACTGTCCCTCTAAATGTCAATAACCCTATCCTATCCCAGTGTTCTCTCCCAGTGACACACACAATAATGCAGCCTCCCCATCAATAAACCATCAGCTCCCACCCCCTACTGCGCCCGCCAGAGAGAGAGAGGTAAGAGAAAGAATGTGTGTGTGTGTGTGTGTGTCGCTTCAGCACACGCTCGCTAGCTGGCTGGCTCACACACGCAACAGAGAGGCGCAGCGTCTTCATTATGTAAGTCCCAACAGGCTCCTCCTCCCTCCCTCACCCACACACACACACACACTCACTTTCTCTCTTTCTGGCACACCCAATATCACTCACTCACAGAAATTCATAATCTCTGACTCCCTCACTTAGTCATGCAATGCACACAGACACACACAGTCACAGACACTGCTGGACTCTATCGGTCCCATCTTCACACTTCGTTCACAGTCTGTCAGAAAACCCTTCAATCAATCAGCCTCCCACGTCCCAACCAGTTGACTGACTGAAAGACCAACAGTAGTGATCCAAGATAAATACAGTGCCTTGCAAAAGTATTCATCCCCCTTGGCGTTTTTCCTATTTTGTTGCATTACAACCTGTAATTTAAATAGGTTTTTATTTGGATTTCATGTAATGGACATACACAAAATAGTCCAAATTGGTGAAGTGAAATGAAAAAAATAACTTGTTTCAAAACATTCTAAGAAATAAATAACGGAAAAGTGGTGCGTGCATATGTATTCACCCCCTTTGCTATGAAGCCCCTAAATAAGTTCTGGTGCAACCAATTACCTTCAGAAGTCACATAATTAGTTAAATAAAGTCCACCTGTGTGCAATCTAAGTGTCACATGATCTGTCACATGATCTCAGTATACATACACCTGTTCTGAAAGGCCCCAGAGTCTGCAACACCACTAAGCAAGGGGCACCACCAAGCAAGCGGCACCATGAAGACAAAGGAGCTCTCCAAACAGGTCAGGGACAAAGTTGTGGAGAAGTACAGATCATGGTTGGGTTATAAAAAAATATCCGAAACTTTGAACATCCCACGGAGCACCATTAAATCCATTATTAAAAAATTGAAAGAATATGGCACCACAACAAACTTGCCAAGCCAGGGCCGCCCACCAAAACTCACGGACCAGGTAAGGAGGGCATTAATCAGAGAGGCAACAAAAAGACCAAAGATAACCCTGAAGGAGCTGCAAAGCTCCACAGCGGAGATTGGAGTATCTGTCCATAGGACCACTTTAAGCCGTACACTCCACAGAGCTGGGCTTTACGGAAGAGTGGCCAGAATAAAGCCATTGCTTAAAGAACAAAAAAGCAAACACGTTTGGTGTTCGCCAAAGGCCATGTGGGAGACTCCCCAAACATATGGAAGAAGGTACTCTGGTCAGATTAGACTAAAATTGAGCTTTTTGGCCATCAAGGAAAACACTATGTCTGGCGGAATGATGGATGGCGCTAAATACGGGGAAATTCTTGAGGGAAACCTGTTTCAGTCTTCCAGAGATTTGAGACTGGGACGGAGGGTTATGACCCTAAGCATACTACTAAAGCAACACTCGAGTGGTTTAAGGGGAAACATTTAAATGTCTTGGAATGGCCTATGTGGGGAGGTGATTTCGGACAGAGTCAGACGCAGGAGGGTAAATCACAGAATATATAATTTAATCAGGAACACAGCGGTACGCATAAATGCGTAATACACTCCAGTGCGGTAAATACGGCGCACTGGAGAAAACAAGGCACACGGGTGAATATCCCGGCGATACAAATATAATGTAGCTCCACCGAGCTATAATACCTCCACAATAAACAATCACACACAAAGACAAGGGGGCAGAGGGAACACTTACAGTTGAAGTCGGAAGTTTACATACACTTAGGTTGGAGTCATTAAAACTAGTTTTTCAACGACTCCACACATTTCTTGTTAACAAACTATAGTTTTGGCAAGTCGGTTAGGACATCTACTTTGTGCATGACACAAGTACTTTTTCCAACAATTGTTTACAGACAGATTATTTCACTTATAATTCACTGTATCACAATTCCAGTGGGTCAGAAGTTTACATACACTAAGTTGACTGTGCCTTTAAACAGCTTGGAAAATTCCAGAAAATGATGTAATGGCGTTAGAAGCTTTTGATAGGCTAATTGACATCATTTGAGACAATTGGAGGTGTACCTGTGGATGTATTTCAAGGCCTACCTTCAAACTCAGTGCCTCTTTGCTTGACATCATGGGAAAAGCAAAAGAAATCAGCCAAAACCTCAGATTTTTTTTTGTAGACCTCCACAAGTCTGGTTCATCCTTGGGAGCAATTTCCAAACGCCAGAAGGTACCACGTTCATCTGTACAAACAATAGTACGCAAGTATAAACACCATGGGACCACGCAGCCATCATAAAGCTCAGGACGGAGACGCGTTCTGTCTCCTAGAGATGAACGTACTTTGGTGCGAAAAGTGCAAATCAATCCCAGAACAACAGCAAAGGACCTTGTGAAGATGCTGGAAGAAACAGGTACAAAAGTATCTATGTCCACAGTAAAACGAGTCCTATATCGACATAACCTGAAAGGCCGCTCAGCAAGGAAGAAGCCACTGCTCCAAAACCGCCATAAAAAAGCCAGACTACGGTTTGCAACTGCACATGGGGACAAAGATCTGACTTTTTGAGAAATGTCCTCTGGTCTGATGAAACAAAAATAGAACTGTTTGGCCATAATGACAATCGTTATGTTTGGAGGAAAAAGGGGAAGGCTTGCAAGCCGAAGAACACCATCCCAACCGTGAAGCACGGGGGTGGCAGCATCATGCTGTGGGGGTACTTTGCTGCAGGAGGTACTGGTGCACTTCACAAAATAGATGGCATCATGAGGAAGGAAAATTATGTGGATATATTGAAGCAACATCTCAAGACATCAGTCAGGAAGTTAAAGCTTGGTCGCAAATGGGTCTTCCAAATGGACAATGACCCCAAGCATACTTCCAAAGTTGTGGCAAAATGGCTTAAGGACAACAAAGTCAAGGTATTGGAATGGCCATCACAATGCCCTGACCTCAATCCTATAGAACATTTGTGGGCAGAACTGAAAAGGCGTGTGCGAGCAAGGAGGCCTACAAACCTGACCAGCTCTGTCAGGAGGAATGGGCCAAAATTCACCCAACTTATTGTGGGAAGCTTGTGGAAGGCTACCTGAAACGTTTGACCCAAGTTAAACAATTTAAAGGCAATGCTACCAAATACTAATTGAGTGTATGTAAACTTCTGACCCACTGGGAATGTGATGAAATAAATTAAAGCTGAAATAAATCACTCTCTACTATTATTCTGACATTTCACATTCTTAAAATAAAGTGGTGATCCTAACTGACCTAAGACAGGGAATTTTTACTAGGATT